AAAAACATCTACTTCTGCTTCATTGACTCTGCAAAAGCCTTTGATTGTGGCACACTATGGCAAGTTCTTAAAGAAATGGGAGTGCCTGACCACCTTGTCTATCTCCTGAGGAATCTATATATGGGACAGGAAGCAACAGGTAGAACTGGATATGAAACAACTGATTGGAACAAAATTGGGAAAGGAGTGTGACAAGGGCTGTATATTTTCCCCCGGCTTATTGAACTTATATGCAGAATACATCAAGCAAAAGGCCGGACTGGTAGAATCCCAAACCGGAATTAAGATTGACGGAAGAAATATCAACAACCTTCGATATGCAAATGATACCCCTCTGATGGCAGAAAGTGAGGAAGAATTAAAGAACCTCTTAATGAGGGTGAAAGAGGAGAGTGCAAAAATGGTCTGAAGCTCAACATCAAAAAAACTATGATCATGGCCGCTGGTCCCATCATCTCCTGGTAAATAGAAGAGGAAGATATGGAGGCAGTGGCAGATTTTACCCTCTTGGGCTCCATGATCACTGCAGATGGGTACAGCAGCCACGAAATTAAAAGATGCCTGCTTCTTGGGAGGAAAGCGATGACAAATCTAGACAGCATCTTAAAAACCTTGCTGACAAAGGTCCGCATAGTCAAAGCTATGGTTTTCCCTGTAGTGATATATGGAAATAAAAGCTGGACCATAAAGAAGGCTGACCGCCAAAGAATTGATGCTTTCGAATTGTGGTGCTGGAGGAGACTCTTGAGAGTCCCCTGGACTGCAAGGAGAACAAACCTATCCATTCTGCAGGAAATCAACCCTGAGTGCTGACTGGAAGGACAGATCCTGAAGCTGAGGCTCCAGTACTTTGGCCATCTCATGAGAAGAGAGGACTCCCTGGAAAAGACCCTGATGTTGGGAAAGTGTGAGGGCAAGATGAGAAGGGGACGATGGAGGACGAGATAGTTGGACAGTGGCACCAAAGCTACCAACATGAATTTTACGACACTCCGGGAGGCAGTGGAAGGCAGGAGGGCCTGGCGTGCTCTGGTCCATGGGGTGACGAATAGTCGAACTCGACTAAATGACTAAACAACAACTAGTGCATGTACTGCAGTTAAGCTTCATGGCAACCTTTTCACCAGATATTACAGTTCAATTTTTCCCAAACTGGTGCCTTGCAATGGAACACAACTCTAATAACATGACTTGGGACGACAGGAGTTGTAGCAAAACGAAAACTGCTCTCGGGGTTAAGATGATTACTGCACACGATTTTAATTTGCTGAGTCCCCCACCCCCCACAAAAGGCCTGTGTTGCAAGACTGTGCATTAAACTAGGGGCAAGCCCACCGAACTCAATGATGTTTACTTCTGAGGGGGCATAAATACAGTTGGACTGCACGGCGGTAAAAAAAAGGCGTGAACGACAGGCCGAGCTCTCTCTGGACCACGGGAAAAAGCTGGAGCCAGTCACGGATCACAGCCTTCGCTCCCTCACGGAAACCTGGAAGGGGGAAAAAAAGGAAAATACACCCCCCTTCCTCCCCGGGCCCTCGTTCAGGCTCTCGGCTCCCCTTACCTGAAATTACCGCCAACGGAGGCGACATCTTGCCAAACTCGAGCCAAACGCGCCGTTGCCGCCGAGAAGCCCGGGAACAGGAAGAGCTGCCCGACGCAAGGCCGGCTCGGCAATCTCAGTCGTTTTCCCACCGCTCGCCCTGCAAGCGTCTTTCACTCGGAGTCTCCGAAACCCCTCGGGCAAGGAGACCCCTCCGCTTCTTTGAGACAAAAGAAACCAGATTCGGACCTTCAGGGGCCAGGCGCGGTTTAGCTACCTTCCCGTCCAGCGAAGGCCCCGGCGCAAAGGACGCTGGGGACTGTAGTCCGAAACTCGTCAGGGCAGCGCGCGGGAAAGTTGAACACAGAGGTTCATGGTAAACGGGTTTATTGAAGGGTGAGGATCAGGGAGCACGGCGGGGTTAGGACACAAGCCCAGGGGTCCGCTTCACTCCACTGTTGACAAGTAGCTTCAGGGTCGTCTTGCCGGCCGAGGAGAGGTGACGCGCCCAGGAAAATAACGCGCGAATATTGTCGTTTCTTCTGTCTCCAAGTGGTGTCGTTCAAGTTCTGGCACTCCGCTTGCATGCGTGATAATGAGAGCGGACACTTCCCATGGGAAACATACCTAACCGAGGCAAATTTCTCAATCTTTGAAATATAGTGTGTGGGGGGGGGGGACAAAATTAAAAAGTGCAAGAATGCATTTTAAGGGAGCACCTTGCATGTTTTAACATAAGCTTTTGCGGGTTAATCCACTTCGTCAAGCACATAGAATGTAGTCATCTATTAGGTCTGATAAAATGGATCAAGCCTCGAAAGCTTACATTGCAATATGCAAATCTTTTTAAGGGGTCACCAAGTGTTTGTGTTTTGCCCAGTTTGTGCTTACATAGACTGAGACGGCTACGATTTTAGAAAAATCTCTAAAATACTGTAATTGTCTTGCTCTGGGAGGACTTTTAAGTACAGTACGTAAAATGCTTTTGCCCTCCCGTGTGCTGATTGCCTTGATACGAAGCCGGAAGTGAAGGGCTCAGCAGAAGGGAAAGTGACAGCAGTGAGGGACTTCTTGGGGGGGGTGGAAACGAGGGAAGAGGTTGAAATTCGTACTGTCTCTAAAGTACTGGGCGAAAGCTAAAGCAGAGCGCTTCCCATCATCCTCCAGGCAGCATTTACCATCATGCATCTCGCTGTCTTTATTCCCGACTTCCTTGCTGCCGCTTTGGGGGTCAGGTGCGCATGCGTGTTAGAGGAACCCTGCAGTCGGATTAATGGGCATTATTCTGTCCGCGGAGGATGGTGTCGCGTGGAGGGCAGCACGTGCGGTAGGTCCTGATATTTTGTGGAAGGCACTTGGGGCCCAAGACTTCGCGGGGATCTCTCATGCTTTCGCCCTTTGGCAAGGGAATTCTTTCCTTCTGACTTAATTTATTTAATTTCACTGAATGGATATACGCTTTTCGGTTTCAGGAGAGCCAAAGGGCCAATTTGACCATAACAATTCCAGCTTTATATTTCTTAATTTGTCCCGTGAAATTGATCAGGCATTGTACCGCGTCAATTCTCCTTTCCTCCCCCAACTTTGCCTATTATACCATTCAGTTTCATTCAATTTCGGATGTTGTGGGTCACAAGTCCCATAATACGGTACTGTTGGGCTTGGGCTTCCGGAACTGCAGTCCAAAACATTGGAAGGGCTCTTGTCTCAAAACCAAGACCACAGGAATCATCTGCGCGGCCTGTCTTGTTCTGGGTTTTGAAAGTGTGCTAATCCTTAGCAGTTTGTAAAGACTTCATTTTGGAAGGGCGTTTTATGCATTCCCTTTACTTTAATTACAACTTGCATAGTTTTTTTAACTTTCCAGGTATGGCGAACTGTAGTTGAACGTTGATTTAAATAGTGATGATAATACTGTATTAGAAACAGGAATTGAGACAAGGTTCTAGTAAAACTGTTACAAATTTCAAAGGTAATACAATAGGACTTATTTTATGGTCAGAAATGCTTACACAGAATACTCTGTAAATTGGAAGCATTTCCCAGTTAAACCACAGAGCAGAAGAACAAATGCCACTTAGGGCAACTCTGCCTTGACTTTTCTTCCTCTCTTGTCACCTCCTCCTTTTACAGCCTTCACTGCAGGAAAGTGAGCTGTCTCCCTGATTCTGATGTTTTCCTACAGGTGCCTTGCATTTGTTAGCCATCATGTTTGTGTTGGTGGAAATGACAGATACTGTGCGAATTCCTCCATGGCAATTTGAAAGGAAACTCAATGATGCCATCACTGAAGAGTTAAATAAGAAGTTGGCTAATAAGGTAAAAATTCCACTATACGCCATGCCTGACAAGCTTGCTATAACACAAAAATATTGTGAATGCAAAAATCTTGTTGCTGTACATAAATATATTTTACAGTGCTGAGCAGTTACTATGTGATTCTAATCTCCTTGTTTTATTAATATGCAAGTGAGACCCAGTGTAGTATGACATTGAGAAGTGAGTGACAGGATACAGAAGGTAAGGAGAAATGCTAAGTGGGCTGCCTGGTCATGAGTGCATCTCATCTTTCTTCTCAGCAGTCATCTCTAACCTTTCTGTATCTAAAGTCAACACACATGAAGTATTTTCAACTATTCAATTACTATTTGGTTCATTTGTGCTCTTTACATTTTGGCATGCTGTTTCAGAAAGTTGTTGCCCATTTCTTCCTCATTGCTGTGATTCATTACTCATTGGACTTGCTTCCCCAAACAGGTTGTGTATAATGTCGGCCTTTGCATCTGTCTGTACGACATTACCAAGCTGGAGGATTCCTATATATTCCCAGGAGATGGTGCATCGCACACAAAAGGTCATTTACTTTAATGTGATCTCTTTAGATATATAAAAGTTAACCGCTTGAATAGTATCCTTTTCAGCAACTTAAAGAATTGCCATCAGCATTTTAAGTGCTCTGTATTCTCAGTTATGACTCTGTTACATTAATGGCCAGGCATGTTTTTAAGGTTACCTGTTCTATGGGGACAAAAGGCTGAGAGTCTCATAATCACTATGCTTTGTATTTGCTATTTTTCAACTTTAGGACAACATTAATATGAGTTGCCTTTATTGTAGGTCATTCCTGACTAGTAGTTTATTATAGTCTACAGTAGTTCTACATGTGCTTATCAAACATGTAGGTTCTCATGAATCCAGACTTGTTTCATGCGTACCCATATTCTGAAGTATCCATACAGGGAATTGGGCATATATCATGTCCTGTTTGTTGAGTGTGCTAGCAAGTTATTGCACAAGTAGATATATAGTACATAGAAGCTGAAATTCTTTTGCTTAGCAAAGTAAGTTGCAACTAGAATGAGCCAATTTGAATCACCGGAACTTACCACTCCTTGGTAAGTAGTTCAGTTACCAAGTCCCCACTGATTAATGGACTACGATAGTGTGACTGTGCTAGACAACAAGATTTCAGCATAAGAAAGTTACACAGGTATCTTGTCATAAATCAGACATAGGTATGCCTAAGAAACCAAATAAAAATGTTAAGTGTTTGCTATACGTGTTAAATCCCACATTAATTTAATGTCGGACAGTATTGTGGCTGCATTCATAGGAATTAAGAAAAGACTCGATAGTGAGTTGACTTAAGTGTGCAATTTAGAAAGTGAGCATATTTCTAAGCCAAATGTTTCAAATGTAAGTGGGTGTAGGTAGGCTGAATCTTAAAACCATTTCATCTGCTTGCTGTCTTGAGATATAACAGACGAAGAAGGCTCTGCAAACATTGGAATGCGGCTTATCAGTGGATAGTATTATATTTTCCTAGAGTAGCCCATAGACTTTCTAGAAACTGGAAAAGTAGAAAAAATGGGCTAGATTAGGTATTTCATGTTGACTGAGACAAACCTTTTAGTGAAGAAGCACCCAGTATCTGCTTGCACAATATTTTTTTCTCCAGCACAGGATATAACTGCTGAGCTGTTAAATTCAGTATCTTTGGTCACAAAGAAACATGGAGGTTGCTCTAACTGCTGTTATCTTTTCGATTGGCCTAATAAACATACTGAGTTTTGAATTTGTTTTATGATCATTATGGCTATCTCTGCTTCTGTATATAACTGTATGTATAGTTTGTAGACACAACAGCAGGTCCACCTTAGAATGCCAATTAATTATCTATAACATATCAGGAAAAAGGAACTACCCAGTTTCCCCTAAAATAAGACCTAACCTGAAAATAAGCCCTAGTATGATTTTTCAGGATGCTCATAATATAAGCCCTACCCCAAAAATAAGCCCTAGTTAAGTGAACCCCCGCCCTCCACCATTGTGCAGCAACCAGAAGAAGATGACATGACTGCATTTGAATAAATGTAGATGGTTGTACATGCCCAAAATAAAACAACCCCTGAAAATAAGCCCTAATGTATTTTTGGAACAAAAATTAATATAAGACCCTGTCTTATTTTCGGGCAAACGGTACTTGCGCATATTACATTATATAGTTATGTGTTCTTATTTGAGTGTCATATTTCCTGTCACTGTTGCACTACTTGCTTTACATAAATTGCTTATAAAATATATTGACATACATTCATTCTACTTTATATTTCTTTTGTTCAGTTTGTATTACCTTTATCAATTTTGCATATGTAATACCTAACAGTAGAGATCTCTTGGAATAACACAAGGCTACCCTAAATCTTTTACTGTATTTCCTTTGCCACAGTTCACCGAGCACTGTCTTATTTGGTCTGTTTACAAAACAAGTTATTTTCAGTGTGCCTGACCTGCAGAAACATACACAGTTGCCCAGAAACAGTGCTCTGCATATTATTAGCCCTGTGAGATAAGTTAAGTTGAAAATCAAAGGGCTGTCAGGATCCATTAGTGGTTGAAGTTTGAGAGATGGGTAGTTTGAGATGACAGTCAGTGCTTTGTTAATACAACATTATATAATCCTGGGTCCCTTGTAGTTAAATTTGTGGATTTTTTTGTGCAACTATTTTGTTCAACATGAACTTAAAACATGACTTGCCAAAAAAAATGAGGTGTTATTCCTTGCCTCTTTTCAGTGCATTTTCGTTATGTTGTATTCCACCCCTTTCTTGATGAGATTCTGGTTGGAGAGATAAAAGGGTGCAGTCTAGAAGGAGTTCATGGTAATTTTTTATTTTTATTCATTATATGGACAATGCTACATGAGTGTTATTTCTGAGAAATTGGCTTGCATATACAGTAAATCATAGAAAACCCCTGGAGTAGATTGGGCTATATTATGATATGTGTCTTGAACAATGTGGCATATGATGTCAAGTCAGCTAATACTGTATTTACATTTTGAAGAAAGGCAGTTCTGTTAAAATTTGATCACTGTGGTATAGTGTTTGCTGAAAAATATACAGCCTCTCAATGCCCTGACTGTGGAAGCTTTTGTTCATTTCACAGCCATGGAATTCAGTTACTGCTGTGCTCAGTCAAATGTAATTATAGCTGTATGAAATGTTTCTGGAGAATGATTTTTTTATTTGGTTGCAGTCTAATTGGAGGATTTTGCCCAGCACCCTCAGTACTTGTTTCCTAAGGGAAGCCTAGCTACCAGTTAAATATTTAGATTAGACAACTGATTGTATTAGGAGTGGAATTTCTCTTTTCCATATGGTATTAAAGATAAAGATTCTGAAATGTTGAGTTCTTAGCTATGCTTAGTTTAAGACAACATTGTGCTGAGTTCGGATAAATGCCAAATGTAATATATGTAGTTTCATAATCAGCTTATCCAACCCATGCCCAATTCCCAGTACAACACCTACAGGTGCTGTGACTTTTACAGAGACCACTACTATATCCATGATTGAGCTGGAGTGAAAGTTAAAGATATGGAGTGGATCAGTTCTGTCATGACACACAGGCATGAATTCTGAATATTATAAGGTGGTGTTTTGTTTTGTAAAAACTGTCAATGAATCATCATTCCCCCGTGTGCATGTTGTCACTGGCAAAACGTTTAAGGTGAGAGAGTCACATTATATATAAATGGCTTCTGTGTTAATCTGAGTTTTCTTCCCACAGTTTCTCTTGGTTTCTTTGATGACATCATTATCCCTCCAGAATCGTTACAACAGCCTGCCAAGTTGTATCCTCCAATGTTGCTGGATGTTTTAAAAAGTGTAATATAATGACAGTAACTTATCTTCAGGTGCGGCCTTTATACTCAAAATAACAACAAAAATCATCCTTCTTGACGATGTTGCAAAAGATTGCTGCCACAGCTTTAACATTAAGAACAAAGGAATCTGCATAATAGCAGCCCTCATTCTGAAGTATGGAGAATAGTCTCTGATTTTTTTTTAATTGTGGCAAAGGGCGGTATTTTGGACTGAAGCTTGTGGAAGTAGATCAAAAGGGTTGGGGAACAGCAGCCATAGGGACAAAGAATTGTCTAATTTGCTTTGATCTTAGATTCTTCTAATATGCCTCCAGTAAAGGTTATGTACCTGAGAAAAGGTTATGTAGGGATGAATATTTAAAATCAGGCAGCCTAGACCAGCAAGGGGATTTCTTGTCATGAATCCAAACATCCATTCCCTCTTTACCACATTGCTGCCTTAACCCTCCATGTGCCCAGCGATGAAGCTGAACAAGTGTGGGTTTGGGAGTATGAGACTGAAGAAGGAGCCCATGACCTCTATATGGATAGAGGGGAAGAAATTCGCTTCCGTGTGGTGGATGAAACCTTCATTGATACATCCCCAACAGGGCCTAGCTCTGCCGAGCCCTCGACCTCTAGTGCCACAGAGGAGGTGCAGAAGAAAGAAGCCCCCTACACTCTTATGGTAACTATTCCATCTTACTGTTCCTCTCTACATAAACTTGGTTCAAGAAGGGGGTAGAGAGGGTGCAGAAGAAAGAAGCCCCCTACACTCTTGTGGTAACTATTCCATTTTACTGTTCCTCTCTACATAAACTTTTGAAATGATCCTTGGTTCAAGAAGGGGGTAGAGAGTCATCAGGGAATTGTAAAAGCCAAATACCTGTTGCTTTTTTCAGTGCATTGGTGTTACAATAAGGCAGACATTTGGAAGTGCAGCTTAAAACCGGAATGTACTAATGGAAGATAATCACTGCAGTGTGCAGCAGTGGGGTGAGCTACAATTGTTTGACAGATACATGCCCAGTAGTCTATCATTGCTGATGCACACATTTGTTTTAAAATCTAGAATTTAATGAAAATTTGAGTCTGAGGGGATAGCTACAGCTATTTTTGCTGGTAGTTATACACATTATTTCAACCAATTATAATAGTAACTATTTCTTTCAAAAATGACAATACTTCTCTGTTTCCTTAACAATGCTAAAAGAAGCACATTCTCTCTGTGTTGTGCTAGAGTCACAGTAGGATGAGATGAGGAATACCAAACCTGAAAATTTCTTCAGATGTGCTCTATGAATTTTGTGTTTTGTTCCCCTCAGTGAATGCCATGATCTGTTTTATTCAGTGTGGTTAACTATTTCCAATCTGTCTTTGTTTTTGTTTTTTCTCTAAACAAAATTGAAAAGGAAAGGTTTTGAATAATCTCACAAAATATATTGCATAAAGTATCCTAGATGTTGAATGGATAATCCAAATATTCATTCTTCAAATTCTTATTTGAATTCTTTTCTCTGTGCAGGGGTCTATCAGTGAGCCTGGCCTAGGCCTCCTATCCTGGTGGACAAATAGTTAGCTAAAGGAAGAAACACTGTTCCTCCAGATGGATGTTTTCCAGTCAAAAAAATCCAGTGGGTTCTTCTTTTCTCTCTTGAAGAACAGTTGCAAAGTGGAAGCAGTGTCTGAATGATTCTGGTTTTCATTTGATCTACTTCAGTCTGGTCTAGACATAGAAAGAGTGGGACTGTTCAAAGTAACTGAAGACCATGAATGACCCTGGCCACCCAAATTAAGTTTGGATCTCTCTATCCACCAAAACCAGCTGCATATACCTAAGAAGAGTCTATTGAAGGGAAGAAAAGGTGGAAAGCTTTGTGTTTCACAACAGATGGAAGAAGAAATTCAGAAATATACAACAGTATCCAATGCTGCCATGTTATTCACAGTGTAACAAGAGAGGAGGAATTATGCAGTTTGGAAGCAAGCATTCATGTTACTGAATGTACTGTTTTATCTAAATAGCCTTGGATGTCCTCCTCTAACTGATATTCTTTAATTCATTGGCAATGAGTTTATTTAAAGCTGGGCAGAATGGATGGGCCACTCTGCTAGCAAAATAGTTTACAAACATCAGCAACACAACAGAAGTGTTGTTTTTACTAACCTATCAACATGTCTGCACTATGGCCCATTTTGCAGATAAACTAAAACTGCTGAAAAAAGCTGGAGGACTGATTGACTCTACTACATTTTTGGCCTAACTATATCTGCTACTGAACAGAATATCTTGATGTCTGTTGTTACCCTCTTATGATCAAAGCCTCCTTCCCCTGTTACAGAATATGGATGCAGATATAGAACCTCCACCATTTGTTTTCTGGGGTTTGAATGTATCAGGGTGATAAATGTGAGACAGTGGTGAAATGAGCACAAGGGACACAATCACACTACATAGTTTAAACAATACATAGAAATTCTATGGACTAAGCAAAGGCAATACTGCTGAGCTAAAGACAGCTTTAGAAAACATCTATGGTATCAAAACCTGTGTGTGCCTTTTATACATAATGTCTTAGTAGAGGATAGTAATGGCAATACAGTACTTTTTTTTTCTTTAAAACCTTCATTGATGTTTTAATTATATTCCAACACAGTAATGAGCACAAGGGACACAATCACACTACATAGTGTAAACAATACATATAAATTCTGTGGACTAAGCAAAGGCAATACTGCTGGTTGTGCAGGCAACTCTGCTTGTGGCAGTGGTTTCAACTGTGAATTGCTACTGAGCTGAGTGATTTGCTATGGATTGTTAGTGTATATAAAAGTGACAAGGAGAGCTTTGGGTAAAGGCTGTGTATGTTACCTACACAGTAAGTTGAAATCCCCCCCCCAATTTTTCTCCTTACTTGTCATATTTACGTCCTGATTTCTCTCCAGTAAACCCAAGGTGTTGTTTCTAACTTATCCTTTCCTGACTTTATTCTCATCACAACCCTGTGAGGAAAATTAGGCTGAGTGTGTGACTGGCTTAAGGTCACTATATGAGTTTCAGGGGCAGGTTTTAAAGCCTGGTTTTCTGAGCCAATGCAATAACCCCTATACCACCCAGTTCTTCAACAAAAATTATCACTTGAAGTACAGTAGTAAGCTCTAATAAACCTTACACATAGACTTCCTTGTATTTCTAGTGTTTTCTGATAGAAAGGCAGAATTTACTTGTGGATCTTTTACAGGCTGACTAAAGCTTCTGGAAGTTAGCTACAAAGAATTGCTGGAATTAATTCAGAAATAATATGCAGTTAACACTACATCAGAAACTTTGCTTTACATCCAGTTTCCGAACATACGATTCTGCGGCTGAATAGTTTTGATTCCCTCCCAGTAAGGGATCGATCCATACCACTTTTATCCATTCCTTCCATTAAGCAGACCTTTTTGTTTTGTCCTTGCTATTCTGTGAGATCTTGTGCAGACTGACCCATAAGTACTACAGTATTTATGCAATTCTTCATTCACTTACATTGGAGTAATTTTCTCACCTGGAGGCAACTGACCTCTCAAGAGGAATTAAGAGAAATTTTAAAATACACAGTCTTATCAACATACAAATGGCAACAACGTCTTGAAAGGGCCTCTGTTAGGAACAGCCATAACAGGGGTTTTTTTCAGTGCTTTAGCACTTGCTCTTTGAGAGATGCCCAAAATAGCCTGTAGTATAAAAATTTACAATAGTCAAGAAAATAGCAGTTATATAAATCAACTAATACAGATTTTTTTAAAGCTTTTGAAAATAAGATTTTCAGATAGTATTGCAAGGATAAACTCAGCCCAGACAAGCTAGAGATCTATGTTGGGAGACCAGCTTACACCAACCCTGCAATGCAATGCCAACATCAAAAGATGAGGCTATTTAAATTGCTCCCCTCACCAGTCAGTCCCAAACATTCAACTGTGTGTTAAAACCTAAGTCCCAAGGCTTGTAAGTAGACTGGTTTCAATTGTAAGCATTCAGCAGTATTTTTATAAAAAGAAGGAAGATTTCATGTCACACTTCTCAACAGAAAGGTCTTGTCTATGGTACTAAGAATTTTTCTCCCCACTCTTTCCACTGCATGCTCAGGCAGTATTACATCAGGAGTGCACTGCAACATTTCATTGCAACACCCTGCTTGAATATAGATTCTAAACTCAAATCTCCGAAATGACACAGTCAGTGTGCAAGAGAAGGCGGCTGTGTTGCGGGATCTTTAAAGAAGCATGCGGGGGGGGGCACTCTTCAAAACTACTAGTTTTAGTACAGAACACTGACGTTTATGGAGTTAGAATGAAGTGGAGAGACCTTGGAAAGGGGGGGGGCGATAGACTTCTGTAAATAAACATTCCTCACTGCAACATTTTGTTACAGATCCCACTGATGTCCTACACTTTTTTAAAAAGCAGTCTTCCCGTTGAGAATTCATAGCTTCGTTTATTTGTAAGCTCATTTTTCAAGTCTTGTACTTAGATGATTTGGTAACACGCAAGCCCAATGGCAAGCTTTCAGTCTATCCCATTTATGTCAGAAATCTGCAAGAGGACACGCCCGCCCTTCTAAAACTTAATCACGCGGGGACTGTTGCTTCTCTTAACGTAAATGTCGGAGTTTCGCCTATTCCAAATACAGTATCTGTTTCAGTATTCCAAATACTATATTGGCTTCTCCAACAGCTTCGTCTTGAAACGCGCTTCCGATTCTGGCAAGCAGCGCTTGGGCTCTCGAGTTATAGCTTTGCAAATGTCTTAAGGGGGAAGACGAATCCCCCCCCAAGCACCCTGACTGCGCTATAAATACACGCGTATTAAAGTTGCTGTATTCCTGATATATGGTGGAATTAGAAATCTTGTTTTCGCTTCCCTATTACGAATGACGTCCAAAAATATAAATAGGTTGGGAAGGTTTCCAAAGCGCAAATAGATCTTGCACTGCCTTCATACGTAGAAGGAGAAAGAAAGGAAACCAAATTTGCGGCGTCAAGACTTCCGGGCGCTTTAGCAAACAGATACAGCCTGGCAGGCTTATTGCGACACAGATCCATCCTCCCCCGACGCCCACTGAGTTCGGGTCTCGTAAATTACGGTATGTTGATAAAAGGACCATCGCGAAAAAACATCAATCAACGTCATCTAACGGCGTCGTCGTCTACGAGAGACCCGGAACTAAGACTGTCAAAAGTTTTGCCCGGCTAGAACATCCTTCCTTTGGACCGTAGCGTTATTTTTTATTTTATTATTATTATTATTTGCAGAATCAAAACGACCCTTGTGGGAGGATGGGTTCCCTTCCTGTCTGTATTTTGTAAACCGCAGTAGTAAACTAACATATTTGGAATACTTGGCAATCACTCGCATACTTGGGCTAATCCTGAATGCCAGGACCTGGAGGCATTGGACGCTGGGAGCTGCAGTTTCCGCCAGCCTCGTGGCTGAAAGGCTGGAATAGTCTTGTGTATCTCCCCACCACCCCCGCCACCTTTTTAGCTCAAGGACATCATTTTTTTTATTCAAGAAAAAAAAATATCAATTCAGTTAAGTGCAAATAAATTTGGTGCTGCTGTAGCTCTTTAGAAAGGAGGCAGGCAACACCAGCTTTATTTGCAGAAAGTGGCCTTACCTATCTCCAATCTTTCAGAGTGATTCAGTTACCCTAATTACTGTGATTTGCAGCATCTTGCTTCTTAGATGAGTGATCTTAACCATAGCCCTCTCATGTCGTGGCTTTGCTTCTGTCTCATAAATCAGGTCCTCAAAATAAATGGCTTGGGAGAGTTTCAGAAGTGGCACCAAGTGCCTGCTAAGTGTTGCCCAAGTGCAAAGCAGGAATGCAAACAGGGTAGTGTAGGGGTAAGTTTTCTTCCTGCCTAGACTGGAATGCCAGGCGAGTACCCCACAAGAACTGCATTTTTGAAAGTCACTTCCAGAAATCTGGGCTGCTCTATGCTCTTAATTTGAAGACACCGCTATTCTTTCATACTAGCCCCTATCTTTATATTGCTGGTTTGTTCAGTGCTGAACAGAAAGTGTAATCACAGTTGGCTAGCCAATGTTCTGAGGTATAACTTACAATTTGGACATGGTTTGTGTGGTAGAGCACAAGAATCTTCTGATGCTGAAGAAGAAATGCACACAGCTAGAGGCTGAATGTGCCTGCTTTAAGGGCCAGAAGATGATGGCTGCCAGTTGAGAGGAGTAACACCATCCTGTCCATACTATTGTGCAGTTTTAGGTGCTGGCCAAATTCTTGCCAAAGGAACGGCGGGGGGACAGTTTAAGGGCGGTAGTGCTTCTTCTAGTCCCTTCTTTTATTTATTTATTTTATTTGTATTCTGACTTTCTTTCAAAAACCTGAACTGAAGGCACACAGAATATAATTTTAAAAAATACATTATAATTATTAAAACAATTTAATCAGTTAGCCTAATAGAGCACAGTTAAAACCATTTTTTAAAATTTCCATTAAAATACTAATTACAATCAACATTAAAGAAAACCAAAAGGGAGAACAACCTTTAGCGCTCATGCCCTTTCCAGTCAGCCAGTTGACTAAATAGTAATATCTTAGTGTGCTGGTGGAAAGACATCAGGAAATTGGCCAATCTTTGACAGGAAATTCCATAGCCCCTATAGGAGTGGTTATCAGGCATAACTCTGGGAGCGATGAAACCTCTCCTGCAGATTTCAGAAGCTAGACAGGGTTTTATGGGAGAAAAATACAGAATTTTACTGAAGCCAGGTGCTTTCTTCAGACATCTCTGAAAGAAACTGTGATGAATGACTTTTTTGTGGCATTACTGGAAAGGTGGCATGTGTGCCCCGTTTCCCACAACTGCCACTGAAGGCTGCCCATAAAGTGGGAACAGCCCGTTGTCCTGCTGCCAAGAAGAGAGAGAAGAACCAGAAACTACAGAAGACTTTGTTCAAAGATTGGACAATCATAGGATTTCACAATGAGTGTATTTGAAAAGATATCCTTTTTGTATGCACCATTCTCCTATTTAATAGATATACTATGTAATTTAAATCAGCTGCCTATTGTTGTTGTGTGTTATTCGTCCAATACATAATTAGTGACATAGGTAGAATCAATTGATCTCCACCCTCAGGAGATTACAGTCTAGGGTAATTGAGAAAACAACAGAGGAAAGGAATTATAAAGGGCAAGAAGAATGTAGAGAAATGCCACCGCAGCTATTTCATCCAAAATAAATGTAAAGAATCCTAAGTGTATAGTCTGTTGGGGTAAACGTGTCAATATTTCCTAAGTCAAGCTCTTCCATACATGGATCATCATTAATATTGCAACTAGAGACACAATTAGTTGTTAATAGAAATATTGTATTTGGGTTCAAAAGATACAAGTAGTTATGAAAAGCTGAAAGTGCATTGCCACTGAGCAGCATATCCTCTCTTCCACAATTCTTCAACCTGTCAGACTAACGTATTGCACTGCTTTCATTAATTGATTATGGCTTTTAGATGGTATTCAACTGAGTATTTGTGTTAAGAGAAAGTGCTTATGCTGGCACATTTAATTTTCATTCTAATTTCTGCTAATAATGTTATTTTGGTCTACAAATACTTGGAATCTTGCATCCAGTGCCATGCTGTAGGATTCCATGGGCTACAGGCCAAAACACAAGCATTTCCCATACTCTGTGCTCTCCCAGAAAACGTCTTCACATTTAGACACAAATTTGTAAGAGCTGTAGTAAGCAGGAAGGGTTGGCAAAAGTCAAGCATCTCACCACGGGCAAACAGAAGTGCTTTCTGCTAATGTAAAAACACCACTAGACACAACCCTACATGGGCTGTCATTATATGTATATGTTAAATAGATGCATATTTCTGTGTTAATTTTTTTGCAGTAATTGTTCCAGTAAATGGAATAGAATGTATTGCTATTTCAAATATAAGAAAAACAAATATATTTTGGAAAATAACATTCTCTTTGTCTCAACATACTGGCAAAACTAAAAGAGAAAAAGAAAGAGGGGGGAAAAGCAAATAAAAATTCCAACACGGGATTTGGGATGCTTCTATTTATTCTATGGTGGTGAGAGTCATGATCAGTTAAGGATACATATGACAAAGTGACAATTGTTCATTAACACAAGAATGGGACTAACGAGTTGTTAATTAGCACACTCTCATCAGGGTGACAAGCTATGTAGACTTTATTATAATGGGAACACTGGGACTTGTTTATGGGCAGAGGACATAGAACACACATGAAAAGGAGATCTGTTTCTTAAGTGCATTCAGATCTCTGCCAGTCATGGAGCTCACAGAGAAATATTAACTCTTTCCCTCAGAGTGAGATTTCTACCTAGATACCTGCTCTAGTAATCAACTATGCAACTAAACCCATGCTTACCTTCCATTGACCAATCATAAAACATACTGATTACAAAAATTATATGCTATGATAACCAGACATCATTGGTCAGTGGAGGAAGCAACTTTTATAAGAATATATAAAGTAACTTTTCTCATGCTGTCCTAAACTCCTGTGGAGAAAGGCAGGCCATAAATGTGAGAAATAATTCACTTTCCTGTTTGTACTTTATCTGCATGTTCTATAATTCTTGGTCTATAATTCGTGGTCTGTTCCTCTCTCAGCTATGCTGAAGTGAGCACTTGTCACAGCACTCAAGCAACCACCTTGGAGAGAAAAACACCATCACTGTGGCTTATATAAATAAGGAAGTTACCTCCCGCCCAGGTGAGGTATGGAGGTTCCCAGCACCTCAACAAAGAGTCCTCAGTTATCTTCAGCCATATGGTTTCGTACTGCCATCAATGCACTTAGATTCATAGATTGTTTCTGTTAAAACTATTATAGTTGGTGTTGTTTTAATTCAAATAAATATTTAGGTGCACTGTTTGCTCATATGTGGAACTGTTTCACATTTTGTACACCTACCTCAAACTCTATTACAAGGGGAAAACACTAAAGTGAGTTGATTAAGTGATTGCTGGCTATAAGGAAGACCTTCAATAAGGAAACGGAAAAGAGAAAAAGGTCCTGTTTCTTTGCCCAGAATTCTTCTGTTGTTAGGAATTTCCTGCTGATTAGTGCCTTAATTCTGCCCTTGTTTCAAGTGTTGTCAAAGTACTGTTTATAAACCAGTGTGATGCCTCTTGGGGAGCTGTAAAGTGGGTAAAAGACATTGTAAATTACGGTACTTTATTTAGATTTCCCCCCTCTTATTAGCATTTTTCTGAGTTAGAGCTGGATATAGTATACTCTTTAGCTTTTGCTGTTTGAAGCAGTAATACCATGGCAGCTCAGACAAAAAAGGAACACAGCATAAGTTAGGGGTGTTAATCTACTAAATGGTAAAGTAACTAATGGCAACCATCACATTTGTTTGGGAGTAGAATATAGGTAACTAGGAACAGATTTTTTTTATGTGTGAGCTCTGTTCCTATTTGGTATTCTATTCAAAACAAGTTGCAGAGCTCAGAATTATTTAATTCTAAGGGCTTTGTTTTGTTTTGCATTATATTCCTTTTAGTAGATCTTGAGGTAGATCACACAAGCCTGGAGTTTGTTCTACCTATGCCTTGGTCTAAATTTACCATAGGCAACTTATTATGCTTTTTCTTCTGCAGCAAATAATACACATCTTGAACTTAAAATAAATAGAGATAGACAAAACCAACAAACACCTAGGAAAACACATAACTCTTGTACGTGATATACTACCGTATGTCTCCCTTCAGTTTTCCCACAGCAATACTTGATAATTAATTTTCTGATTTTTTGAAATGATTTACGTATGTGTTTAAAAGATTTGATGGCATATATAAGAACACATTGCAACAGTGAATCTATGTAAACTTATACAAGAATTAATGCTGCTAAACAAGAATGGTAGAATAATGATAGATGCTCTCATAGTGCTATTCATATGCTGTCGGAAGATACAGTGTAATCCCATACTTGCTTACTTGGGAATAAGTTTAATTCAGCTCAGTGGGTCTTATTTCAGAGCTATAGTGGCCACTTTTACAATGCAAAAAAAGGAAATGCATCACCCAAAACGAGGACAAAGAGGGCAAACGCATTTACGTGAAATCAGGATATGCTAGTTTATAGGTATAGAAATAAAGCTAGGCATTATTACTGTAATTTTATTAAACAGAAATGCTGTGCGTCTCACCATCGTAAAGGCTATGGTTTAATGACTTTTGTGCCTCCATAGTTTGCTGTCCAGGTGCTAAGACTTGATGGGCAATTTCAAGGCCCCAGTCTCTCCTCACATTTTAATATTCTCTAAGTAGATTGAAAATAAAGTTGCACGGGCTGAATGTAGAGTATTTTCTGACCCCATTAGAAGCCATGGTATTGACGGTCAGCAAAAACATTCATACTAAATCCACACGTCTTGTATTTCCTGAACCTACTGAAATGGCCCCCTCCCAAAAGAGGCTAACTTGCTGACAAAATAAGTCACATCTGCTTCCCAGCTTCATGGCTCATCAAAAGAAGCAAAATAACTAACAATCAACATGAGCTATTTTTCTTCTTCATATCTTACGCTGACTAGGATTTAAAAAGCACTCTGTGGCCAAAAAAGGGGTTGTTGTGGGGTTTTTTGTCCCAGACATGTACATGTGAATGTTCATGCTTATGTTTGTGTTTAGACTGTAAGACCCGCCCACTCTGCATGGCATGTGGCTGAAACTCAAGGACATGTTTTATTTTTAGGTGACAATGTCATAAAATGCCTACTTTGTAGATCTAGTGCTATGTGAGTTCTGCAACTACACGAGGCTTAGGATACTGCAGTATCCCCTTACTATAGGCGAGGGTTAAATCCTACTTGGACTGTGTGAAGAATTTCAGAGCAGAGACAAGCAGCCTCCAGTTCTCAAGGGCCCACAGTCTGGCCACCAAGCTTCTTTTGCTGATTCTTCCTATTAGAGATATAAGAAAGTGCACACCTGGAACTAAGCTGTGTTAAGAAAGGTATTGCATACTTGGGCTTACTGCTGACTTTGAGTTGCTTAAACCGGTGCTGTGCTTCGCCTGCATGAAACTTGTGCCTTTTTTCCCCTGAGAGATTGGTAAGAATGACACGTAGCCCTGCCCACTTTCTTTTATTTAACGGAGGCTGCCTTCAAAAGGAACAACGTGCTTTGACCACCTTTCACACTGAGGAGGGCTGTCAGCTGTAAAGCGGGGCCCCCAAAGTGGCCACCCTGTTCAGAGTAGACGCGCATAAGGACCGCACAAGACAGGTGCTCAGCAAGCAGTGGCTGTTGATGCAGTCGCAAGCTGTTCGCCCATCGCTCCGGGTCCCTTCTTTCCTGCCGTTCAATATTTTTTCCTAAAAGCATTCGTTGCTTCGTTTTGGAATTCATATATACTCCCTCTCGAAGTTTAACAGATTCAGGAATACTGTATAGAGATTTCGACTGAAAAAGACGAACTAGGCATATATTACACGAAACACTATTGCTACCACGCCGGTTCGATCCCACTGCCCCCTTTCCGATCAACTCGTTTAAACATGGTGCCAGTACGGTCACATTGACAGGCCGCCAGGAACGCTGCGCCTAACCCGCTAGTTTGGCTTTTGAACGTCAGAAAGGGGGAAGCTCTCGCCTTCTTCTCCTTTTGGACTCATACCGGGTGACCCAAACTACGAGTCCCATCATGCTCTCGGTGGCGTCGCTTGTCCTCCTAGCTTTTCCTTCCCTCGCACCCGCCTCTTTGGCGGCTCACGCGCGTGCGCCTTGGGAGCAGCGTCCGGGGCAGGCAGGCAAGCCAAGCAGTCTCTCCCTAATGTAAGATGGTGGCCGGTCTGGCAGTGGAGCGCGCAGAGTCTGGAGATTACCCGTCTCTCACATAAAGGTCGCCGGAGGAACCAGGCAGGCAGGCAGCCCAGCCCTCCCCCGTCCCCGTCCCGCTGCCACAGAAGATAGCGAGCGGGAGAAACCGAGCACGCCAGAGCATTGCCGCCCCCGCCGCCAGGCAGCCGGTCGCCGTGGAGCAGGGAAGACGAGGCGGGTGAGTGAGCCGTAGGGGCTGGGGGGGAGCCGGGTCTGCCTGGCTACGAGAGAGCGGAGGCTTCGCGGGGAGTCGCCAGGCCTCAGCCCTCTCGCCGCCGCCGCCGCCGCCCTCAGCCCCCGGCCCGTGCCGGGGCTTCCTCTGGCCGGAGGAACGGAAGGAAGGAAAGGGAACGGGACGGGCCAGGGCGGCCCCTGTTCCCTGCAGCGAGGGCCGACGGGCTTTTGTGAGGAGCGGACGGGGCTTCCGAGGGGCTGCTGCTGCGCCCGGGCTGAGTGAGCCGGAGGAGGGATCAGCTGGAAGGAGAGAAGCGGCTCTAAAATGATCCTGAGAAGGCCACGCTGAGACTTTGCAGGGCGGGGGCCCGGCAGTCACTAAGAGGCGGAGGGCTCTCGGGGCAGGCGCTTCCCGTCCCCTTGGCGGTTTGTGGGGCTGCTCAGTAGGTGAGGGGCTGCCGGGCCGCTCTGTTAAAAGGCACGCTTCTGCCTTGGATTTCTAACGAGATGAGGTGGGAAATGGTTATTCCCTTTCCCCGTATCCTGAAAAGATGCCGAAATTTCCAGGCATTTTACTGGCACCACGTGTGTTTGGTAGTGGGTGGCAAACAACTGTACCGGTATTTTCCTCTTTTGCGCTTTTCTGGTAGACTCTCTGACTTTCCGTGGATTTTTCCCCATTGCACCCTCAAGTAGAGTTTTAATAGGAGGACCAGTTCCTAATGCTCTATGTCTTGTAGGGTTTCTGAGTTAAAGAACTATGCTTGAGGCATTTCAACAGTACTCTTGAGTTATACTTTATTCTTTCAAAGTATGTTTTGGTCACTTCTTCCTAACCTGCCATTTTCCTCAGAAATAATTCCTAGAAGGTACATCTATTATCATTTGAAAGCTTTAGAAAGTTGTCATTGGTAAGTGGTTGTAGGTCAGTGCTATGATCTATATGCGTGCATTTTGTTAAAAAAAATATTTAAATTCGTATTAACGATTTATTTTGTGGTGAGATTGATATTGATTATTAATAATCATCATCATGTGCCATCAAGTTAATTGTGACCCTTTCCAGGGTTTTCCAAGTAGAGAATACTCAGAAGTGGTTTGTTATTCCCTTCTTCTGGGGTGCCAACACAGGTTGGCTCTGCACAGGAAGCACAGTGGGAAGTCGAACTCCCAGCCTTTGGCTCCGCAGCCATATACCTAAACCACTGAAGCTACCCAGCCAGCTGAGATTGATCTTAGCACAGTGATCATAGGAATAAAAGCAAAATATTATTAACATTAGTGAGAGGGTTTTTTTTTTTTAAATATAGCTATGAAATGAGTAATGTAGCAAAAAGTTAAATAATGTTAATTTGACTTGTTCTTTCTGGTTTAGAAATGCTGACCATCTGCCAGATCTGTAGCTCTAAGAAATGTTATTTTGATTACCTTAGGCAAATATCAGCTTGCATTTGTAGTGGGACTTGACTTCTGAGCAGAATGTGTGGAATTGCACTGTTAGTCTGTGGGAGATAGTTAAATGTTTTACCAACTCGGATTTTAACTTTTTGGAAATGATTGGTTCTCACTCCGCAGGCACAATGGCAGATGTGCCTGTTTACAATTTTGGCCAATAGAAATAAAAACAAAAGTTCTAGGAGAGAACAACTGAATCAGAGCTGCTATAATTTGTTTCTTGGCCACTTTGACAGAAAATGTAAGATACTAAAATATTTTAGGCCTCAGATTTTTAAAATCAGTGTCTTTGAGGACACATATCAGGGGAAACATCTTGAGAGAAACCAATATTTGTTTGTTAGACTAATTTAAATATAAAAATTGTGGATTGATTTTGCTAGAAGAATAAATACTGTATATGGCTTTTCCCGTTTCTCATAGACTAACAGCTGTCAAACCTACAGTTCAGTGCATTCCATTGGGGGGGGGGGAAATTCACCAAAAATTAACGAAGACTCGGAACAAAGCCAAATTAAGTTTGCAAAGGTTTTACAAGGTGCACTAACTATTCCAAGCATTTAAAACAGTTTTGAACATTTTAAGACACTTTAAAAATAGCGAAAATGGAACATCGCTAAGCGAAACAGGGGACCTAAACTGTCATCGCTAAGCGAGGCAAGGTCCCGAACATCGCTATGCGAAATTTCCCCATAGGGAACATCGCTAAACGGAGCGCAAAATCGCTGCAAAAACCTCATCACTCAGCAAATACATCGTTAAATGAGGCAATCGCTAAGCGAGGCACCACTGTATACTCTTTGTCACTAAACCTTACTTTACCTTGCACTCATTGTTGACTTTTAAATAAGATGCTTTACATATTAACTGTATTTTAAAGCATGTGTTACCCAAATTGACTTCAAGGATGTTTGTGGAACATTACAGTACAGGTTGTACCCAAAGTTTCTGTATATGTTTTCTGTATGCCTATACACAGATAACTTCATATATGCTACCATTTATGAACAGTAAATAGTATGGGCAATACGTAGATTGACTGTTCAAGGGTACTGTGAATGCTTTCAAACTCTGTTATTGATTGATAGTGTTATAATGGAGGATGGTGTAGAAGATTTTGGTTCCATTTGCAGATGTAAACAATTGTTTACATGACAAAATAAGATCATATATTTCACCATATCACTCTTGGATCTTTTTCACCATGTCTCTTTTGAGTGTTTCTTCAGATGGAAAAGGCAAGTACCTAACCCTGTACAGCACTTCTATATTTGATGGAATTTTCATTCTACCAATACGTCACAGGAGGGGGAAAAAGCATCCTATATGAGATGTAGACCTCTAGATTTTTTGAAGAATAGTTGGCTTATGATTATGCTTTTAGCTGATAGGGGAACTGCGCCCTAGATGTGGGGATTGGAGAAACATTAGTAGACCTAACAAAGTCTATCTTTTTCTTGTAGAATGGCAGGTAAACTGGAAAGTGCTGTAGGGACTCAGCTGGCATATTTTGAAAGGTGGTGTCACAGTGAAATTTTAGCCTCATCTTTACTATTCTTCAGCAAGCAGGCAAAATCCTTTATCTTCAAGCAAGCTTTCTCTGAGTGACTGACTGTCTGCCTGAGTGGGGTTTTTTAATGTGTTGTTGTACCTTACTCTTGAATGTGTTTTGGTGTTTATGTTTTTTTAGTCTGGTATTTGTTTGATCCCTTTTAGTATTTGTATACTTACTATTGTTAGCTTTATTATTGTCTTGACTCCTTTTAATAAGAGAGGTAGGATAAAAATATATAAATTACCCATTGACTTTAGTTGGTCCTAATACTTGCATTTATCCATTGCGCAAAACATCTCACTATCACAGATAGTTTCTTTATAAATGGAGTCCATGTTACTGTAGAAGTATCTGATTGGCACCCATATGCTTAGTCCAGTCACTAGAAGTAGTTCTGCATCTTGTCCACAGGATAGCTCCTCATCTTAGGCCAGCTCTGGCTGCTTGTGCATGTGCTGATTTTTCTGTATGAGCATACACAAGCAAAGAGTTTTTACCTCTCTTGTCTCCAGTGCATGTAATATTGGAGGCATGTGGTTTAGTACACTGTGCAACAATATGTTAAGCAAACTTTGTATAGTTTCAGATGCTTATTCATATTTGCCTGTTCCATCACTTGGCCATGGTAGGCACCAGCTTAGGTGATAAGATAAAACCCTGTTAGGATATGTTATATTTCACATGATGTGGTTATGTCTTTAAAACTCCTTTTGTGTATTCTGATGGCTTCAGTGAGAAGCCTGAACATATTAATGCTGGCCTTTCAAGCTTTGTTCAGCTCAAAATGTGCATCCTCTTGAAGTTCATTCACCAACCAGGGCTCAGGGGGATTTCTGAATTCTCACCCAAATCAGTGAGAATTCCATTATTTAGAAATAAAGTAGTGTTAAGCTGATGTCTTCATATCTTAAGTAATACTATCACTAAAATCATTGTATAAATCATTTAGATTGTGTTTCCAGCCTATTGGACATAATTGTTTTTTGTCTTTTGGCAATTTTTGTCTGCAGTGAAGGACCATATTTCAGTGGTAGAAAACATGCCATGGATGCAGTTTGCCCCAGATTAAATCGCTGGAGTTCAGTTACACCTAGGGAAGACATCTGCCTGAAACCTTGGAGAGATGTTGCCTCGGGAGTTTATGTAAGACAGCGTCGTGTCTTCATGTAACTCACTGACCTCTTTAGGCTGAAGATACGGCTGTAGTTGATTGCAAATTATAAGACACTGAACAAGTCAGATAGTCTTAGTAAGAAAATGCACTTATTGATTTGCATGTTATTAATGGATATGTTGACACATTTAAAATTCACAGCTGATCAGGAAACATAACCTGAAGAGTAGAAAGTGGTAGTTCTCCTTGATCCTACAGTTCTTTTAGATTTGTAGGAGATATTAGTAGCAGCGAGTTCTTTTACCAATCCTGTCCATTTCCGATGGAATCACATCTTGCTACAGCCATTCAAAATGTAATTACCTCCAAATTAAACTGTCAAAATGTTCTATACTGGCCAAATGTTCGGAAATTAAAAATGTAAAGTGTTGTTGGAATGATGTTGACATGAGCTTGATGTTTTGATCTGCTCTCATTGCCAGTTTCTTCCCAGGCTCCATGTAAGGTGCCAGCGTTTACTTATAAATGACTTGGGGCCTTGGGATCTTAAAAGATTTTTGGTACCTGCATTCCTATGTGTACATCATTAGAGGTTCTCTTTTGCATTGTGAAACATGATGGAAAGCTATTTATGGGTAACTATGCAGTAGTACCTATCTTGTTCAATGCCCTGCTGATTGAGACATGTTATACTCCACTTACTAGTATTTGAGATGGCTGCCCCAAACCTGGTTATGTTAAAAAAAATTTCTGCTCTCCAATTTTAATGTCCCTCTAGTTTCATCTGTTCTTGGAAATTGTTGCAAGTCTATTATATCAGTGTAGTGGTTATGATACTTGCATTGGGAATGGAAAAGACTACAGTTATTGTGTGGTATTG